ATATTGGTACATTTGTATTTATTATCAATTTTTTCGTTGCAATATTTCAATGCCATGAATATTTTTCATCTATCGTATAGGGACACAATGCAAAGATGACAAATACATTACAACTGAAAACTTTTATAATACTGAAGAAGGTAATACTTTTTTGGAAAATTATTTTTATTACTACTATTACATATATATTACTTGAAATACTATTCCATTTAAAATGTAACTCAAAATATGAACAATACTACACAATACTCTTATTATAAATATTAAGTATAAACTAACACTGATAATAATACGTTGTACAATTACATTTATAAAATCAAATGTTATAAAGGAATATGATTTATATTACTTATATTCGATTAAAAATATTATATACTGCTCACTGTCCGGTTTTTCGGTAGCGTACAATAAAACTTCCGATAGATGAAACTTATGATAGTAAATAATAATAGATATAATTATAAATTCATATTTTATTTTGGATGTCGCGTCGTAAGTTACAACCCGTAATAATAACTTAATAGAAATTTATAGAAATCATTTTATTTTCCATTTTACGCAGTTGGGCATTTATCCATATTTTTATATCCTTGTTTAAAATTTAAATGTTCACTTACATTTTTTTATACATTTTGATCCTAAATGAAAGTTTAAAATTTATTTATTTTTTTCAGCTTTTCGTAAGTTTTAAAGTCTGAAAACCTATTCTTAATTTTATTCAATCATACAGAAAAAATTATATGAATAATAATAATATAGGTTTCATAATTCTAAAAAATCACCAATTTGAAAATACAAATATGATTTAATGATAATTTTGAGGAAATAGTTTTAAATTTATAAATTTCGAGACGATAGTTAAGCATCGTTCAATAACTTATTTAAAAAAATTTTAATTTGCTTAAATTTTGTAATTTTTGTTTCTTTCTTAAACTGCAACTAATCCATTAACACTGATTATAAATGCTGTACTTAATAGAAGCTCAATTAAGTATTTGAAGTAAGTTTGACATAAATTAAGACAGTTTAACTTTTTATTTTTTTGTTGTAATATTAAATTACCATGAATAAAATCGTATAAGACTTGTTACAATAAGTAATTGGAGATCGTTCTCTAAGTTGTCTGTTGTAACTAATTTTAAACGGCAGTCTTTAAATTTTAAATTATCCAATTATTTTTTTTGCTAAAGAAACTGCAAATTAATAGAACACGTTTCAAGTGTTGTTTGTATCGGACATGATTTACTTTATGTATCCGTGATAACGGATCCTATTTTATGAGGTCAGTCTTTAAATCGATATCTATTGAAAATTTAAAATGGGGCCGCTTCATATTGGGCCGAAAATTGGCTGCAAAACAGTATGAAAGCTCCATTATAAAATCAAAGCAAAATATCAATATTGTTCTGGTAAAAACCAAATTAACCCAACCCCCTACACCAATTGACCTTTGGAACCCATATTTAGATATTATGGTTTAGGTAAATATTAATCTCTAGACTAAATTGTTAGAACTACTATACCCCATTACTATACCCACGATTAAAGCGAGGGTGGACTAACTCTATCAATACCGCCGGAATATTTAAGCATACCGAATATCATTGATTAACCTTATACAATTATTTAAAAATTAGGGCAGAATACCATACATATTTATAAGCAAAAAATTAAAAACATGAATTTCAACACATAATGTTTATATCTACATAATAACAATTAATTATTGACTTATTTATTAAAGAATTAATAATTTATGCAAAATCCCAATTGTTAATTTAAGCTTGCTGACACTCTTGTTATTTTATACTTAATTTTAGTATACATTATTATAACTGTATTTTAGTAACAATAAACATTGTATTTATATTTTTCAGGAAATAACATTCAGTGCTACAATGTTTATACGTTTTCGGAAGAATATGATTTAAGAGAACTCGGATGTTATCGTAGATATTCAGAAGAGAATATATTTTCATTTTCGCTGACATCTGAAAAAGAACCTATTACATGTTTATCGCTTACGTACATATTAAAAAGTTCAAATAATAGAAAATATGAACTCATGATTTTTGACCAACTTTTAAAAAAAAAAATATTTTCAGTCGAATTAGAAAAAGGAGTAAGTACCATAATAATAATATTCTATACAATAGATACATCAACGTTTACGAAAACAAGAATGAATAATAAAATATATTTTAATTATAGGACGATATAAAAACTTTAAGATTAAATAATATCTTCTTATTGATAACACGAGAGTACAATATATCATTACAATTATCAAATCCATATTATGAATATAACAATTATGAATATACTGAAACAAAGTTTCAACTCGTAAAGATTTCACACTGTTCAACGAGCAGTAAGTACTCCTTTAAAAATGTATGTTTTTTGTCAAATTTGAAATCACCGTAGCAACTATGATATACGAAAGATAATTAAAACATACGTAAAATATATGTATATATAGTATAAGGAAATAATTAATATAACATGAAGCTTAAATTTAATTATTCATAAATATAAACAAATAATGAAAATATTAATTTTTTTCGTAGAAAAAGAAGTCAAACCTTTACAAGAATCAAATGATTTGATGCACCCTTATTCAATAAATGTACTAGGAGTCGGTATGTAATTCAAATAACATGATTTATTAAACCTAAAATAAATATTTATTTAAACCAACGATCCTTTTCCTGGGATAATTATTCATTGTAAATGTTGTCAATACACTTTGTCCACTATTAGTCGAAATACTGTGGGCCATATTCTAAATCTTTATCTAGTTTTCATTGTGTTCAGTTTAAAGAAATGGCTATTTATCTATTTTATAAAAATTAAAAATTCAAATGTTGTTTATCCAGGCTAATTATGGAATGAAAATACAACTCATTACCTCTGGTATACTTGAATAATTGTTAAATATTATAGTAGGGAAAAATATTGTTTCAAATTATTATAGAATTTTGGATAACTTGTATTATAATATTTTTTTCAATTACTACTCAGCAAAATTATTCTGAAATTATATGGACTATCAAAATATAGGTTCTCATCGACGAAAATATGATGGCCATCAAGTTACAAAAGATACAAGTGGTTGTCTTCACGGTGGATACAAGTTATATCCATTATCGAGGTGTATTTGTCCTCCTGGCTTTACAGGACCAATTTGTGAAACAGGTACAATACACTAGTTATTTTTTAGTCTAGATCGTATATATTCTGAACGTGACGCTTAGAACGCAGATATTTAAGTACGATTTCTTTTAAGTGAATCCTTAAACGCGAGAACTATGTGAAAATCCATCAAATTTATAAATATTTTTTAATTGTATATATTTAATACTATTAACAAAACTCAAAATATAGATTGCTCAACAATAACTTAATTATTTATTTATCAATACAATTTGGAAAACAATGCGTTTATATTGTAAAGGAGTACATCTATTATGTAAACTACAGGTTGTGGACCGAATTCATTTGGAGCTGATTGTAAGGGAATTTGCTCCTTACATGATAGAATGTGTCGTGGTATGTTAATGTGTACGACTTATGGATGTACGTGTCCAGTGGGACTAACTGGCCCATGGTGCAACCAAGGTATAATCAGTATGAATCAATAAGTTAATATTGTACTGTCAATCAATATTTAAGAACAATAACAATCGTTATTAATTTTTTTTTAGATTGTGAATCAGGAAAATATGGTGCTGATTGTAATCAAACTTGTTCTTCGAATTGTTATAAAAATTCATGTGACCCGTATACAGGTATCTGCTCTCGTGGATGTGTTCCCGGATACGTTTTTCCACGTTGTCTTGAAAGTAAGTAATAAGGAGCTATTGTGTTAAATCATATTATTATGAATAATAACTCGAAAGTATTTTTAATATTGTTTTAATTAATGCTAGTAAAAATCATGAAAGGCGTTTAGTATAATATTTACAGTCCCCACCGATTGTTATATGATATTTATGATTATTATTTACCCATTATGTGAACCCAGATTTTTAGTACGTCTTATTTAATTTTAAAAAAAAAGTTGAATTACCTTAATGTTTTTTACGCAAAACGCAACATAAAATAATCTTTTTACGCAAAAATATATAAGCATATGAAATCTGTAAACTTATAAAAATAACTTTATTGTAGGTTACAGAAATTACGTCTTTAAAATATATGAATTAACCAAATCTTTAATATAATATATTTACGCAGGTAAATTTGGTGCTAGTGGAATATTGGAAAAAAACATAACTTTTTTATTTTGGCAAAAATCGATGGTACCCAAAACGATTTTTTTTTTTTTTTTGCGCCATTGTTTAACCCCAATATAACTAAAAATACTTGTATAAATCGTTAATTTAAATATTCGCATTATACTTCACATACTGACAAACTTCACAAACTAATACTCAGCTATTAATTGCTTTATTTTATTTAGAATATCCATACCTCATAAATCCGCCTGAACTAATTTCAAGTCAGTACGAGTCATTAGAAATTAAATTGAATTTAAATTCTACAAATATAAAAGGTGGAGACACCAACATAGAGCTGAAATATTATCAATTACTGTATAAGGTAATAACAGAATATAAATTATATTTATAGACATTGTAATAAAGCTTCTTAAAAAAAATTTCATAATTAAGAGAAAATAATGATCACGAATACAGCGGCACAGCCGACTGAATAGCTTAAATATATGTTCATCAATCTGATGTAAGATAAGCACAAATATTTATAAGTGTATCTATTATGAATTTCATACTTATGCCATTTTTAGTTGAAAATATTGTTTTGGACAGGTATACGTAGAGATATGACGTATGCAAGTATTATAAAAATAACTATTTTGTGATCATTAAACAAATAACTTCTCATTTACGCTTTGGTATTTCACATTACAAAATCTTCACCTGCTCCTAACACGATTAAATGATGGATTCGACAATTGGAAGGAACTGCTAGTAGCCTAAGTGGTAAAAAAAATGGAACACACAGAAGTGCAAAAATTCCCGAAAATGTGCAGTTGTTTAGAAAGTGGGTTAGATGTCAAGATGCCCTGTATGGAACAAGTGGATGATTTGAGAATATTAGAACACGATTCTTCGCAAAGTTTTATCATTCCATACCTATTCATTAACGCTAATTTTTAATTATTTTAGTAATTACATAATTTTTAATAATATTATAAAGAATTACAATTTTGATAAATTGAATAATTTTACTGTTGACTTTACCAAATCTTTAATAATAAAAAAAAAAACGTTTTAATGATAGCTTAACAATTCTGAACTATCACTTTGAAATATAATCAAAATCATAGGGTACACTCTTATACTGCTACGTTTACACATTATTTGTCCTGCTGATAATACGTGAAAATACATTTTAAAAATGCAGTGAGATGACTTAAGTCGATATTATTTAATCCTTGTTTTTAGTAAATTCTTAAAATTATATATATCAAAAAAAATTTTTATCTGATCTCTTTTTCTATATAACTGGAAAATTATGATATTATTACTACTGCTGTTTAAAATATTTCAATAACATTATTTTACAATGAGTTATGTTTAAAGATACTAGGCGAACAATCCTACAACACTTCAGACATCAATTTCATTTTAAACGACACCAAGGTAACGAGCATTATAAATCACTTAGAACCAGGTACCGCATATGAAGTTGGTGCTATCCTTATAACAAACGATGGGAATTTCAATGACCAAGACATAATATACGGTCAATATAATACGACTTGTAAGCGTAAGTATTCTTCGATTAATCTCTAAAATTATTAAATTGAGAAGTATTATTAAAACGACAGTGATAACTTACGTCAATCACTATTTTATAATAAATAAAATATATCAGTTCGTGTTCTATAGCCGATTGTATGACACGTGTGTTCAGCGAAATCGTGTTTTATAGCTCTCGATAGACAATCAAATACTGTTTAACACCAGACAACCTACCAGAATAAATCCTTCAATTAAGCTATTTTCCTCTATCGACCACTCTATCTCCAATACTTCCCTCGCAACACACTTGAATGAGAAGTCCTCCACTTTATACACAGCAGCGATCAT